GTAACGCTTTGGCACCACGTTTACCGATATTTTAAGGCACTTTATCTTTTTATCCTTTCTTCAACTTACTGAGTCGCTAGTGGAATACATGAGCTCGCACTAGGTTTGCCTTGTTTCCTCCTCTAGCATCCAGACGAATATATCCAAATTATGGAGTGAATGGGTCTTGTTTGTTTCTTGTACATTCGTTTCGTCTCAGGTTGTCAGCCATTGTGACAAAAGGAAATCCGCATCTAGCGAAGTGTTTCGGGTGTGACCAATCTAGCACTCACTACAAAAGCTGATTAAGAGATAATCGCAGAGCGAGGTTCACCTGCATTAGTTTGTAGGAGATATCAGACTTCTACATTTTTTACTGCGCTTTATAATGGCGAAATCACCTCGAAACCATCCACCCCATGAATCGTTATTTTACGACTAAGAAACATTATGAACTACGCGAGATTTTTATGCAGGCTGGGATTGCGGTGGATAAGAAGGTTCATCAAAAACGGAAATCTTTTATTTAGTATATAGACCAGAATTCTTTCGGTTATCTTCGTTGTCCTGTGTTAGTTTATTTCCTTATTCTACAGGGGAAGAGTTGTTCGCGTTAAACTATTAGTTTTCCGGTAAAGATGCTAGATTTTCCTCTGTTTGATAAAGATGTCTGTTTCCATACAGTTTTCTGGAGTTGGACGAGCTGTTCAATGCATCTGTTTGCAGGCATCAGTGGGCCACAGTATATGCTCCTAAATCGGTCCTAAACTTTCACCGTCAAGATTGTTGATCTCACCGAATGACTGGCGTACGATTTGCTCCTAGCACTAGTCGTTCGGTGTCAACTGTAAATCAAAGAATTTCCAAAATTTCAAGACCCGGAGAGTGGCGTACGATTTGCTCCTGGCACTAGTCGTTCGGTGTCAACTGTAAATCAAAGAATTTCCAAAATTTCAAGACCCGGAGAGTTGTAGTCTCTCATTGCGATTTTACTGGCCGAAAAAAGCAACGTCCAAACCGATGAAGTTTTGCAGGAAACCTCTGTAAGATGACGTTGCATAGCGCTAGTTGCAGGAAGAAAGATCTCACACTGATGTTAAAATCTGAAATATATGTTGACTGTACATCGGACTTTGTAGGTTGCACGAGATAACATTAAAAGCCTACAATATGAGTTGCAACTTTGATATTACTCATTAATATCGTCGGTGTCCACCGATACTGTAGTAATATGGCTTGACACTATTGGCAGTCAGTGAAGTTAGAGCAGTTTGTTTTAAGTCGGCTAGGTAATTTTATTACGCAGTTTTTGAAGTAAAATGTGGCTTTTCGAAACCCAAGGTGTAATTGGTAGCATTTGCACGATATCTGACGGTCATAGAAATGAGCGTACGATTGGTAGCTTATAATTTGACTATCTGATCAAACCCATCTATGATTTTACGACAACAAATACTGACCTAAAGGCGTCGTCTTGTCGGGCCTTAGTAATGTAGTGCAGACTACATTGGTTAGAGGTCAGTTTTTAAGGTTTGAAACGTTCCAGGAAGGTAATCGTGGAGCAGCCCCATTAAGACCAGTGAGGCACCGTACTAGGACAAATCGTATTACTTGTCGATCTAGAGGTAAAGGCGTACTGTTCACAGTAGTATGAGTATGAAGGAATTAAGATTTTTCGTTCAAGTGACCTGTATGTACATGTTTATGGAAGGAGATATACTACTGCCCTTTCTAGAAGGAAGGGCTAGAAGAGCTTCGTATTAAAAACAGCACATCGATCGCCCAGAGGTCGGCGTGACTCCCGGTGAATTGCTCAAAACGGTCGCATCACTTTTAAAAGTGAAGAGTCATGCTGCTCAAAAGGCACCTGCAATGCACAACCACACTACGGTTTAGAAAATCATGCCTTGTTCCCTGTGACTTCGTGTCATGCCAGTCCCATGCTGCCAAACGGGAGAATCTATTGAGCCAATGGCTACGGGAAGGGTCCGTGAAATCTCCTCCCCACATAGGCTGCCTCACAGTTCGGACTTTCAAGTCATGGACTTGGAGAATCGCCCTCAAACATAAACTTACATCCTCCGCTTGCCATCAGGTAGGCTCTTTACACCTATTCCTCCTATCGTCGCTCAAGGCTTCATGGTACCACCCAACTATGATCCGTTCTACAGCAAGCGATTGCAGACTGAGTTTGCTTAATAGTGTTGCAGCTGTTAGTGCTCCAGTTGTAACGTAATGAGGTTGATTATCAGAAGATGACAAGAACTAACGAATATGTTTTACCAGAATGACGAGGAATACAATAGTTAGGTGCATCTGATAAAAATAGATTATGCGAAAAGTGGAATAAGCCAAAAGGTAACTTATCGTTTGAAGACAACCGCTGGGAGTTCTTAAATGAAATTCCGGACGCGGGACGTGTCTTCTCTGCATATAGCAGCTACATGTGTTCTCTAGTCAGCCGTGGAGACTTGTGGAGCTCGGGTGACTTCCTGTCCTGTGCGCGCGTGTGTTGTGCTGAGTTGTATGCCTATCTACTGTGTGCAGTGTGTGTTTTCGTGTTCGATACTTGCACGAACAGGAATACAACTTGACCTGATGTGGCTCAATTTCGTAAGCTCCGCGCGTGACGCAGGTGGTAGCCGCGTAAACAAAAATGGATGGTAAGCTGTAGTGTGCATGTTGTGTCTAGTGAATGACCGATACACAGCGTCCGCTTTCGGATAGTTTTATAAAGTAATCTCTTCACTCATAATGAATGTGACTAGGTTAATATGATGATCTAAAAGCGTGAAAATACCAAGTGGTCAATACATTACGTTGGGTTCGTCCAATGTTGGAGTACACGAACACCACGTAAAAACAACCCTTTTACTATTAAGTCATTTTCATTTACGGTGGCGACGACTGTTGATCCAATCACGGACACTGGCATTTGGTGTGTTAATATTTGGCCACAGTCGGTTTTCAACAAAAACAACCCTAGAAGTTATTTCTTTGACAAGGGAAGCCTGGAAGATGATGAATACAACCATTTCAGGTTTTCCGAGTGGCTTCCTTTCGGGACCATCGCACTGTCGCTCGACCTTGGGATGTATGATTTTGTCACTGAAAACGTCTTTGGTAAGCACAACGTGGTTGAACAAGATGGTATAATCCTACAGTCAATGGAATACGAATCAAATTTCGATATAAATGGCGCCATTCAAAAGATGTTTCGGATTATGATGATATTGAAACATTCTTTTGAATTGTTATAAGGACTAAAAACCCTTTCGAACCGAAAAACAAACTGGGTCTACACAATTCCCTGTCCAGCCAAATTAATAGGCCAGACATCCACGTAACTTCATGTGCGAATCACGGAGCCCAAGGGGCATAAATGTTTTCTTCCATACAATCCAGCTGAGGTCAAAATACCTGCACGCGTCTCAGAGATTTCACCCCACGCACTTGAAAGAAGCCATCAAATCAACGACGACACACGTATGCTCCAGTCAGGATTCAAGGTGTACATGGAACTGCCGTGCTCTGAAGCACCAGAGATCAACACACAACCGAACTGCATCAACCGTAGTGATGAGGCCAGCATCCCGTCCGTCAGGTTTGGACTTAGTAAGAGTGGTTTCTGGAAGTCAAACACGAAACACAGTAGCAACGCATCCAAGTTAGTACAAACAACAAATGGAGGCACATCCCCGCCAAACTACACACAACCACGCGTAGACACACACACAGCAAACATACCCACCTGATTATGTATATCAGCTCCCATAGTTTGCGTTTCACTGAAGGTTCAACTAACTGGGTCGTTTGTCGGATCGTCACCGGATTATCGCTCCTCTTTAGCACCAGTCACATTATTCACCAGTTGTTATTAGTGATACCTGCTGTGTTTCGTTCACTTTGCAGTCGGCTGGTACTGACCAACCTTTAGTCCTGCACCACATGGACGGATGATGATTCTTTTCCGATTTACATAAACAAGATGTAGACAGAGAGTTCATCCTTCAAGTGATGGGAAAAACTGAGAAACATTGTTTAGCCGATTTATCCTTATCGGAAATCATCAGCAGTGTCTCAAATTAGCAACTTTATGATAGTGGCTTGAACCACTCGGCCACCAGCGCCTGATCAGCGAGGTGATTATCACACTCTCAGATGGGATGGAGCTCCACTCATCCTTCAGTCACGAGATCGACATCACGTTCTATTCTGCTGAGTAGCTTATTTCGAAGATCTCTTGTGTTTAGTGAAATTCACTCTGCTAATGCTTCCAGATAAGGGTGAAATTGCTGCAGGCTACTTTTCGGCTTTCAAGCATAGGCTAGCCTCACTTACAGACTTCATTTACAGTATGTCTATACTTGGACAATATGACACGCGTAGTAGTGACTAATGGTCGGCTGCCGAAAACTGTCCAGAAATGCACTCTGGTGTTAGACGTTACATACTATTTCCAGAATTGCTGTTGCTGTGGTAACAGGCTGAAAGCAGTGTGTTATGTCCAAAATGAATATGCAGCACTTTCTTCACTTTCACTTTCACTGGAATCCTCTAAGGATCCATCGTTTTGATAAACGAACAAAATTTTCACGTTAATCGAAAGAGATTTATTTTGGTGGGGAGTAGACTAATCTAACGGTGATCACGTAGATTTATGTCCGCCTCTCATTTCTGATTGAAATAAGAATTACCCGCGTAAGTTTAGCAAGATGGATAAACTACTGCTAGACATATTAGATCAGGTGAATTAGAAGAGCTGAATGCGCACACACATTGTTGGATAGTATCGACTGGTTTACCGTAGACGATTATGGACTTATCTCTATGTTGCATCATGTGACCGTTCTGGTCTGTTCTGTTTAGGTTGCTCAACGAAAGAACCTATCAGTTGGCGTCCTCATTTAATTCGAAATTTCATAGAGCGGCAACTTAGGTTCAGGTCATATGCCTTCACGGTTTCGGTGTTTGTAGTTTGTTGATGGCATTAATGCAATAAATGGCAAAGTGGAGGCAAAATGTCAACACGGAAGAATGAACTACTTCATCTCATTTCAGTTGCCACTGTGGAGAGTTTCTGGTCGGCATTTGATAGAGTGAACGAACAACATGGCCTCATCTGCGACGAAAAAACTGGGAATACACCGTTGCATTTTCTTGTTTTGTCCTTACCTAAGCTTGTCCGGAGTTTCACGGTGGATTTGAAACAGTCAACGAGTCAACCTGACGTTATAACTGATGAAACATCTTGTGCGCCATGGATAAGTGCTGCCGTTGCACTTTTATACCGACTGGTTGTGCTCGGCAACGTTCCAGTGAATGCACAAAACAGTCAAGGCAATACGGTCATGCATCTGTCATGCATACGACCACATGCAGAAGTTCTGCAGGTTCACTTAATTCGGCTTGGTAAGTAAAGAGTACTAGTACCTCGGATACTGGCGAGATTTTATAAGAACCGAATGGTTGTTCAGTATTCTTAAGATCTGGCTTCATGAACCAATCACTCCAAAAAGCTCACTGTAACCACGTCCGATAGCTTTCTATGTATAACCAAGGGTGATCCGCATGAAAACTTCCATCAACCACGCCAGTTTTTGGCTTGAATTAAGGACTACCAGGGATATACTAGCTAGCTACCTAACATGACAAACGGATGATGCTTCCATATGCCACGTCTTCAAAGTCTCTCTATATCATATTATCCGGATAAGTGCTTCCCCTAAAGAACAGAGATGTATAGGATAGTTTGATGCGGATATTCATGGGAATTTAGATGACATGTGATAATCTGATAGTCCCATAAAGATTTTTGCAGTCTCGACAAGACTTACACGGTAAATAGAAGTAAATATGAATTACCTTTGGTGGCACATAGTCCCTCATTGGAACGTGTTTCCAAGGTCCCAACCGACGCAATATTTAGGTTTACAGTCCGAAGAGGGGATGGTAGATCTTCTTTGGCGAACTCAGTAAATATGACAGACACTGTTGAACGGTTCCGGATCACTGGTCGCTCATTATTCAGCGTTCGGATAAGCTGATTTGTCAAAACCACTAGATTACAAACTCTTAGCTAAAGGGCACCGTTTGTAAAGAAATACCATTTTTATATCTCCTCTATCGTCAGATCGTATTTTGCTCTTCTGTTCGGTTTGAGAATATTACGCTTTAGCATACAGAAATTCATCCAGCATCCTGAAGTGCCAAACTCCTGGGTCTGCGAAACAAAATACAAACACCAAGTCCTTTGTGATAAAATAACTACCTACATTTTCAATAAATTAATAGGGAACCTAAAAACTGACCCTCAATCAGTGATTTTTTCCTGTCATTAGGATGCACTGCCAAGTGGAGTTTTCAAACAGCTTACTCATGGTGTTACTAAGTGATTATGCTAATTCACTCAAAGAAATCAGCAAGTCTGGAAAAAGTTCTACAAGAACTGACAATCAGAGTGACATACTTGAATCACAGTGTCAGTGTATTGGCCGGTCTCAACAACAAATTTAACAGCAACATGGCACAACTCAGACTAATTAGTAGCAGTAAAATTATTTTGCATCCATTCTCAGACACCGTCACCATTTTAGTGAAAGAAACAAGGTAAAATGCAACTAGAGGATGGAAAGTGCATGGATCTTGCAGCTTCTTTGGCCCATCCGGGCAGCGACACCAAGAAGCCAGAGCTAAATGGCCCCAGAATCAGAAGCGCCACTGTCGAGTGTTCCAGAAAATTAAGTGAACGGATTACATGTTATGGTGTTTGCGGATGGGTCAGGGAACTTTGCGATTCGTTGAAAATCACTTATGTGCTAATCGTCAACCCACATTATCCTAATTTTGGTCTGAGACCGATACCAGCTTCACGCGTAATCGATACATGGGACAAGCTTTAAAACGAACTCTTGGACAGGGAGTGTGATACAGTGGGATGATAGCTTCACTGAAGAAATGCAGCAGGTATTTAAGTTTTATGCGACCATGGGAGAGTTGTGATAAAAAAATTCTAGGCGTAAAACCCATTTGGAAATGTATGTTTGCGGCAGGGTTATCTACTTATGATAGATAACACAATTCTTCAGTGGACCCACATAGTCTGGCACAAAAGAGAAGCTGTGCCGCAATCTGAGGCTGCGTGCCGCTTCACAAGTTTGAGGCAAGGAAAGCTTCACTGGAGAGTTGTAAAGGCATTAGCCTGCTGAGTTGTGTGGGTGAGCCGCTGACACGAGTCCTGCATGGCCATCTGGATTCCGAAGTTACCGAAACCAATGTTAAAGGAGATCAGTGTGGCATCCGTGATAGCTGAAACAAAACTTTATGACATTTACTGAAGATGTTCCGCGAACACCTTTAAGCTCCACTTTGTGGAATTTGCAATCCCAGCAAAGCGCTGTGACGAACACAGTTGAAGGAAATCTGTGAACGACCCCAAGAGGAATTTTTCATTAAGGTGCCCTAGACTGAGAAAGCAAGGACGAAATTTCCGGGTTCATCATAAAGACGTATTTCCCCCGTAACCAACCCATTGTAAATCTTAGTCATCCCCACTAATCAACAAACAGGAACATCAGACTGAACACCCAGCACTGATCAAGTCGGCTAGNTGGTTCCCTGACTGCCTTAAAACCCAATCAGCCTACTTACTTACTCACTTAGCCTGACGAAGCTTTTGTGTCAAAAGCGAAACGCTGCTCAGCAATAAATCCACCGAGTGTTTTCTAAACCTCTCTGAAACGATGACGTCCCAATCAGTCCCAAACATTTTCCAATTGATCTTGAAGCCCCCTTCGTAGAATTCACAAATCCCAGCAAAGTGCTGTGAGCAAACCTTATTAATTAAGGCTGCGATTGAAATGTCTTCAGGAATGAAGTCTAGTTATTTTCAAAATTATCACCAGTGTAAAACGGGACCGCTCATTCGGTTTCTAACCAACATTGAGGGTGTAGACTGCGTGAGGGTCGATTAGTTTGGAAACAAGTTTAATTCGTAGTTTAAAATAAAAAAATAAGTATGATGGAACTCAGGGACTTAGCCTACCTGATGAGTCCAAGGATGAGCTGGGAACTGCTCAAAAGTTTGCAGCAACCTTACGAGCGGTTTTTCCATCCACGTTGTTTGATGTGATGGATGTCCGGAAGCGGAAGATATCTGTAGAAGTAATTAGCAACCTTACGAGTGGTTTTTCCATCCGCGTTGTTTGATGTGATGGATCTTCGGAAGCGGAAGATATCTGTAGAAGTAATTCACGGTGGATAGTTTTTCATAAAGGACATTCCTCACAAGGTTGCTGGAAATTTTTCGACAGCCCACGACCGGTTTCGCTCTTCTTGAGGCTCATCAGGTAGGCGTAGTCCCCGAGTTTCCGTCAAACTTATGTTCTACTCGAACCCAAATTGGACTGTTTTCGAGAAATACACTTATTTGCAAATCAGTTTGGATTTTACGAGAGACTCGAATGAATCTCTCGTTCATGATATTCTACAAGTTTACCTATAATTTACCCACCATGTATGCTTGTTGTACCGTCTTATCCTTCGTGAAGCATGTTTTATGAAGCACTTCCGCGTCTACTTGTAATGCAATTTTGTTCTACACTTTCTTCGAGCATTCGATCTACTTCCAGCAGCAAACTTGTGTTAACTGACTTTCCAATTGCTCCACTTGCGTTTTTCCCAAGGTGCTGATCCACTGCTCGAAAATCGTTATGGCGCACGTGTTTACTACAATCCACAGACCAAGAGGGCACACCTAGTTAAAGGACTTCCTAGTCTCCAGTGTGGAATTTGGGATGCAAGTGAGTACTTCTCATCTGAAATGAGGGGTTCGGAGGCGCAGAATAATAAGTGACTAAATCAAGCTTTTCATTAACTTGAAGCTTACGATAAGGTCACATTGCTGGGCAGCCAGCAAATACTCGCGTGTGAGTAAATCCTCTTCGGAATGAAAACGGCAAATTACTCCTACAATCAGAATTTCGCAACTGAACTAAAGATAAAGGTAATTATAAGGTTCTTTGGTGATAAATGTGAAACTGTAGGTAGAGAGACAGAACCCAATTCTTTCACCGCGTTTAGGTTTCATCATGTAGGATGTGTCCCGAAGGTTGAATATGGCTGAAGTAACTAGGAAGCCGAAAAATAATTCCGCCGTTTTTCTTCAGTATTGTATGTGACGCCCATTAAAAATCACACACTGGTGTCTGGCACGACAACATTCCCAAAGTGGGAACTCTTCCAAAAAGTGCGTACATTTTACTGGTTCCAGATTTTATTCTCATGGAAGGAATTGTGACATTCTGATAAGAGCGCATTTCAGTGATAAGTAAGTTCTGCGGTAAAAATAGCGGTCGCAATGGTTTCAATCCACGTTGAAAAGTGACAGAAGCGTAGCGAACGGGGAACATGATTTGTCGACCTGTCTGAAAAAGGCAACTCTTATAGGTCGTTTTTAACCCTGTGTTATATTCACAGCCTGAGTTGTCCAACGTCCAGACGGCAACGTTCCGTTGTGATGATTCTTTTCAGTAGCTATTTATTCCTATACTGTGGTCTAAGGCACCTAATATTGGTAGGAAAACTGACTGCATGAGAAAGCATTTCTCGGTGTGTCAAACACTTTACCAGTGGTGCGTAAATACTAAGCGTTTCTATTACACAAGTGCCCGTCACTTTGTCGCCCGACGAACTGAGCGACCCTATAGTCGCCGTACTTTGATGCATTTCATCGGTCGAAAAAGCTGTCATTGCATCAGTTTTATGCTATTTGATTCATTATCATACAAGTTACGACAATCAAAGTGCTGTTCGTGGTGAAACGAATTCCGACAAGTTTGCATAAAATATAATTGCAAACCCTTTTATGAGAACGTTGCGCGGTTAACATTCAATCATACTTAGGTTGAAATAAATTTTGAGAGTTGATCCTATTTTCATCAAAATCAGAAGCATTTGAAAGTCCAAGCTAACAATAATTTTGAGGGGCAGAGTGAAGAGACACGTGTTTGATCGACAAACAGATAATGGATCGCACATGTTATTCGCTCGAGAGAACGACATTTCGTCACTCATGCGTATCGCATCAGGTGGGGTAGGGCATGACTACGATTATTACTTCTCGTCACACAAGGATATGAACCGCCAAAACTTCGGCGATTCCGATTTTCGTTTTCCGCGGGAATCTTGAAATAACCTGTTATATGACGCTAGATGCCGCCTCAGAATATGATTGATGTCTTGGGTCCAACAGATGTGTCTGACCCGAACTATTGCGGGATCCTGTCAATCCTTTGCTCATTAAACAAAGGGATGTACTCAGTTATCTGCTTTGACAATCTTCTAATGGTTCTCTCACAAAGTAAATGAAGTCAAACATACGCAGGTTTGGGCTAACGTGATAGGTAACCTTTATATGTCTGAATTAGCACGCAACGACTTGCAAGATAATGCATAGTTTGGAAACGAGCAACATCTACTTAAACGCACGTTCCAAGAGCTCGCCTCCTAAGTCACCTCTAGATGACGTGCCAAGTACAGCGAATTCTGTGGCACACTGATAAATGACGGCTTTTTCGTAATTTTAAAAAGGCTATCTCGATTGTCCTTGCCACTTAAATAGTTAAGGATGCAACCGATTCCTTAAGTAGGGTTTCTCCCGCGCTAATTCCCGTTCCCCTATCATAAAGACATCAAACCACGTTTTTTCACCTTCAAGGTTGAATAACTGGATATATCGGCACGGTGGCCAGTCTAAGTAAAAACACCTTTGAATATTCTCATTGGCCCACTGCGTGGACACAATATCCAAACTTCACATGTGAACCTAAAAAATACAGCTTGGCTGATTGATCTTTCGCTGGGCCACATTCTAGCAGTCTGCAATAAACATATATAAAGTAAGGATTAATAGATACTGTTTATTCTTGAAGAAACGTGACCTCCGTTAATACATCAGCAAGGAACGGGCCATGAGATTTAGTCCTGAAAATCACTGTCAAACTGTGTGTCGCCTGATCAGTCATCTCAGGCTAAAGTAAGCGTCCAGAGATCAGCGGTCTCGTTGTTAGGCAAACAACAGTAACTTCAGACATGTCAATCAAGACTAAAAAAAGTGATACTATACTAAATCTTCCAAATTTTACAGGAGCAATTCACGGAAAATTGGGGCACAATCGGGGCATTAGTGCTTTTGGACCTTGTTGGGGTATCATTATCAGCGCATATCTAAACAAAATTCCATGAAGTTTAGTATCATTGTCCTTTCAATTAGCGGCGCGGTCGCAGCCGTCCGCTCAACAGTGCACCAGAGAGGAAATAGCTCTGCTTAGTCCTCAATCAAGCAATTCATACGTTTTCAAATACTCCTTAAGTAGGATGCTCTTCGGAGAATGGTTACTGTGTATTCATGATTCATTAATCATAAGGTTGCTAAAAATTCGTCGACAGCCCACGACCTTATGAGTGGTGAATTACCAATATGTATTCATCGCGAAATCTCGAATATCGTAACGAATGAAATATGAGACGGCCTGGTGCAGTACATTCAACTGCCTGGATACATCACCAGCGAGAGATTCAGTCGGGTTCCAGGTGAGTCTCGCGAAAAACCAAATTAGTTTGCAAATGAGTGTATTTCGCTAATGGTTAATGTGGTTCGTAGGATTTTCTGGTCTATGGACAGAACACTCAGGAAGAGTTGGTTCTGATGATGCTTCGACGTTCTGGTTGATAATTAGCTCTCTTTATTATGTAAACGATCACAAAGCAGAGTCGATCCAAGATGCCGCAACACACACGTGACCGATTCTTCCGCTTTGAGGTATGGAGTCCATATCGGTGGTCGAAATTCCCTATTTCCTCATTCAAAAGATCGGCTGAAGCTCAGTGAAATTACTCATACATAAATTAAATGCTTTAGTTTTCGGGACTACTAAATGCGCATTCCACAGCTGACTAATGGAGTAACTTCCAAACAAATTTATCCTCCTTTAGTCCTCACAACTCCCTTTCTCCACCCCTTTTGAAATTTTCTGACACCAAAACCACGAATAAGGAATCTTTTCCAACTTAATAGCCAGCACTGCCATGACCGACGAGGAACTTCATCCAAGGTGAATTCAAGGGAGAAATAACCTTTATCGGTAGGAGTAATATGAAGAACAGAGCACACAGAAGCTTAAAAACAGGACGAATTTTGGGTAGAATGGATGAGATTGATTTACTTGTATTCAATGCTGGATTTGAGGTCGCTCAAAATAGTTACACCTCACATAAGTCCTTAGAGTAAAGCGTGAGGGGTGAAAAGATAAGACAGACCGCCGCCGACTAAACAAGCTAAGACATCATGGCAAGACCAAATTTTGCTCTGGAACTGCTCGAAAAACCACAGTGTTGCTTGCGCCAGATATCGCTGCACTACATTACGCAACCTCTTTAAATCCTTTTGGTTGTCCGTTCATCAGATTTCCATACTTACAATTTTGCATTACGTTATGGCGTCCACAACTCTATTGTGCATATAGTGGGGACGCCACACCAATTCCTTGAGCATACCAGCTGTTTTTTTGCACAGTTAAGGCGTACTTTCTTGGAGACAGTGTATCGCAAACATATATGGATGGCACAATGTACAGCGACTAAAAAATTTCTTTGATCAGGGTAGTATTTTGGTCAGCAGTCTCAAATACGTCTCCCACTGTCACAGCATTCATGTTATTACAAATCTTCCAAGAATAATCCACGAAGACCAATGGTCAGTCGCAGGTAACGATAAAAAGTGGTAAAAATTTTATCATTCTGTCAGAATATCCAGTTAATTGGAAGATGGCTAGTATTTGTCAACTGATACTTTGGAACTTTCCTCTCCTGAAAGCGGAATATTCCTTCTTGAATGTGGGGGACTTCTTCCTCTTTCCGGTCAGGAACTACTGCCGGGGGTACCCTAACTGCAACGTTTAGCTGTAATGGTTTTAATTAATCGAGATATCTCAACTTTCCTTTAAGATTGATTTACATTGTTGGTAGCTGCATGGATAGGCTGATTGCAGTTCTATCCGATTATCTTCAGCGAGGATGAAGATGTACGGGACTACTGCACTGTCTCGCAGCCTCATGTATCTAACTATTGCATAACCGGCCCGTCATCAATAAAACTCGAAACCAGGCCTTCATTTTTTCCGAAAAGCTGATGTTTGGATTTTTCTGTAGAGTTATAACTGTAGAACTCTCTGGCTTACGTGCTCTTTTGGCTCACAGTTAAACGGGAGGATATGGACTGTGTTCAAAAATATCTACGTGCTTGGTCGAGAACCGTCGTGAGCAACTCCGAAGGGCAGAGTCTTCTAGACTTTGCTGCTGCCACGGGCAGTCACGAAATCCATCGCCGAATAACCGAGGCTCAAGCAACAAACGAACTGGTTGCTCATAGCATGGCGTTGGACACGGAAAAGATGCTGAAGTTTCTCACATCTAGGCGTGGTAAGTTCATCGGTGATCTAGCATGACAGACTCAACTGGGCCACACAGTACATGGATTAGCCTGCTATAAATTTGTATATGATAGTTGGAGAAAGGTTCAAAATCTATTAAATTTTCGAGCTTACTGCGGTGAAATATGAAGCAGTATGCCTTTCGTCAGAACTTCTACTGTGAATTCCAACGTTAAGGAATGTTTTTTCCAAAGAACACTTTCAGTCAAAAATTTTTTCCTAATGGGGATTTTGTACTTTGGGAAGTCAATCTGTACTGAAGAGCCGTTTTATTCTTATCGGGAGTCATCAACGGTGCACATCTCACGAAACTCCCGGGCGCCTGGATCCGGATTGTAGTCTGAAGACCCAAGGTTTCTCTCACCAGCGTCTGATTAACTGACACCTAGACAGGATCTAACATCAGGAGTGTGATCTACGCTTATAAGCGTTTTAAACAAGATAAACCTGTTTTAGGTAGATCCCTGCATTTGAATCCGGAGTTACATGTACGTGATCTAGAGAAATTAATGCAAGCACGCAAAAGAAGTCATTTTAGTCAAAAACTTTGGGAAAAGTCATGGACCAGCGTCTTGCATTGATAAAGTTCCATTGCTCTTCTTTATATTTAATGCCAGATATCTCAGACGGATTGATAGTCAGTCACATTCCTGTTGTGTGTGTATGTGAATGGGTCTACAACCCTCCGCTACTCATAAAATTCATAAAAATATTGTATGTTTCAGGAATCTCCATAATTCAAAGGCACTTTTGACATTTAGAGTTTACTGGATGATTTCTGAAAACGATCCCAACCAGAAACTAATGAGACAACAGTTTTCACCATTATCTAATTCCACTGGTTCGGATTAAAAATATGCAGGACCAATTCGTCCGGAAGCAGTTTGACATGCCCAGGTGCACAAAATGACCTGTTTTCGGCGTTCGATCTTCCATCACTCCCACACAATTCTACCCGCAATGTTTTTATGCCCGCTTTGATGTTTTAGCTGTTACACTCATAGTTGAATGCAACTTATCGTTCCACATCATTTAGCTGTCAAACAACCTGCCACGTTTCCTTGCCCACACGCTTGCGCGTGGACTTTTGAGCCCATCCATATGGGTCACAAGAGCGTGAGTTCAACGGACGGATATGTAATTCGACTCACTCAAAACCTTGTCGACTTAGTTCAGATAGTCAGGCTACAACCTAGTGACGAAACATTCTGTGGCGTTGTTAAATAATGGTTGCCTGTCGAGAACGATTGCCTCGTCTGAGAAAGTCTCACAACCACGTAAACACACAACTGAAAAATCAGTCAGTGTGTATCGATACGCAAAAGAGTGGTACGAAGATCTGCTCTGTCGCCTCAATAAAGTCTTTTTGTTTTTCCATCGTTGGATCTCGAGGATTAGTTTAAGGTCACATTTCCTTTGGAGGATAAGAACCTGGAAGTAAAGCGCCATTTTAATCTGGAAAAAGGTGTCAGTGCATGGAGGTGATGGGTTAATCTTAAATTGGTATACTATTAGGAAATGGGACTCAAAATGAGTGAGTAAAAGAAGCCAAATTTGATGAGTTCAGTATCCGAAAACATCGGATTGTCCTGAGGTCAGCCTTGCAGTACGTGACAAATTTAATTCACTTTTTAAGCTTTGACATTCATTTCTACTGTTAAAAACACTAAATGCCTCACCCACCTTACCAACCCATGTTACTTGAAAAATCTGCGGCGATTCAACGTCAAGGGTAAAGCCCATAACGATGCCACTCGCATCTTTGTACTCTGCTATCTCAAAATGAAGTGCTTCCTGGAAATTCGTAATCCAGCATTGCGTAAAGTGTGCTTGAACTGAACAGTAGCCAACCTGGGGATTAAAGCTGGTCTTATTTTACAGAGACAAATACCGTTTAGAAATACAGGTATGTACAGCGTAAGCCAGCATGTCACATTCAACAGATCGCAATTCAACAAATGCTACTGGGCGATTTCTTTTTATGTATGGCTTACAAACCCCAACTTTGCACGGATGATTTTGACAACACAATCATACTTTTTATAGGAAAGTTCACACGTGTGGCAACGGTGGTTCACAGGAAAGGATGAATCCCAGTTTGTTGTCCTATCGATTGTCTTAGGTTACAGGCCACGTGGAGTGCGACAATGGATGGGTGTACTCCGCTTGAAATGGCGAGGAAACTGCATTTGAGTTACTTATGTCTGAGGAGGTCACGTTTTCAATCGCCTTTCATTATCTGTCATCTGAGAATCATATAAACATACCAGTAGATGGACTAGCTTGATACGCGAAATAAGTGTCCTACACAAAATTACATACAAACATTAGAGCACAACGGCCTACGATCAGCTACAACACGCAATGTAACTGTTATTGGCACGAAGACGAGGTTACAATGTCCAAAAGGAGAAACAAACTTACGCATTCTGTAAATCTTTGAACTTTCTCCCAGAAGATATATAGGAAACAGTCGAAACTTTGGCCTTTTACGGTTGGTAAGCTGTATAGGTTGCAGTGTCCTTCGAGGAGAGAAATTTTTCAATTTGCTATCTTATTCTGTTGTCGCACGTTCACAATTCGTTTCATCTGACGGCCGCTTTCAGTTGTCCGGACTTTGGAAACATGATCTTCACATTATTCAGTATTCCTGCGTAATCACGTATCTGATAACATCTATGGTTTGCTTCTACTTAACTTTCTATTCCGTAGCACGCCAGCAAATTATTTCATCTTAAATGGATGAAATATCGCCCAAGTTGCGTTCACATTCACATGAACACGATGAGGTCAGCGTGATTTTCATTATCACTACACAAAACACCATTGTCAGATCAGAGTTCGAAGAAGCTGGTGGCAAAAGTGAGGTTAGAATGGATACTTTCGATAGTGCGTTTGTTGAATTTTATGTGGTAGCAGTTGATTGGCGAGGAAACGCGAATATTTCCCCAGTTTAACCCTTCAAAAGTAAAGAAAACATGACGAAAACGTCACTGTTTGTTCCTAAAGTGCAAACTGATGCGCTTGGAAGAAGGGATGCTGCATTAGCATCAGCATTCATCCTGCTAGGCCACTTTTCACTACCAAAACCTTAATTTTGAATACTTTCTTCTCCGTATTCTTTGGCACAAGAGAGTATGTTATCATGGGGGATTTTTTTCTCTCTGTATGAATATTTGATAAATGTGAACTGCAGTTCCCACGATTATGTTACAGAAAAGGAGAAATGTGACTTGCTTACCTGTGACCAGTCATTCGACCCCCCACGACCCCTGATCGCGGAATTGAGGCTAACCTATGGACAGCGGGCCGAGGAAGTTATTCAACTTCTTGCTTCGTACGGGATGCCGGACGAACATTCGTACTTGTGTGAGTGATCATTCATTTTGCGCGGTTATTGTGTTGGGATGTTTAAGAGGGCACTCCTGCAGTCGCTGAAGTGACCAGACAGGTGACTGTTCGCAAACATATATCGAATAGGTCTATTGGTGCTTATGTAGTTGATGGTTTTGTTTTCAGCGCTTGTTTTTTACAGTGAAATGCGCTATAAAAGAAGAGATGTTTCTCTTAGAACTTTCCGACTGTTTCTGAACAAACATTGTAGCAACAATATACAGATTGAGTTACATTTTGTGCATGATATAATTCTAGCACAGTAGTTAGAGATGCAGGAACGAGGATGTAAGATGCAAGTGAAAAATACTAATGGCCGATAACTCACCATACAAGCTAGAAGATGTCTGTACTAGCAGTAGCTTTTAAAACTTTCAATGCTTTTTTGGTCAACAATAACGTAATTGTAGTTAATGCATGTCTCTGGGTGATATTTATGATAATATATGGTGTTCTGCTGAACACTCGAGTAGCATGACAGAAAGTGCTTTGCTTAAAAACATCATGAACGAGAGATTCCGCTGGGTTTCAGGCGAGTCTCCCATCAAAGCCGAAATGATATACAGATGAGTGTATTTGTCAAAATCCTCCCGATTTGGGTTCAAGTGGAACTTAAGATTGACGGAAACTCGGGGAATGCGCCTACCTGTGATCCCCACCAAGGGCGACACAGCTCGTAGGCTGTCGAAGAGTTTTCGGCAACCTTGTTAGTAGTATATTACATCTTACTTTAGCTCTGGTTGTAAGATGCTAGTTTTGTCAAGGTGGATGATAGTCGGATGGAGGAAATATTTTGCCCTACAAGGATATTAAGAAACTGGACGAATCCGTCTCATATCCTTGCGGTCTCAAGCCCTCCGATAAACTGAAAAAGATGCCACTCGCAAAGAACGTAAGAAATTGTAGCAACTGCTGGTTAGCGTGACAGGTTCTGTACGACTTCGGAAGTAATCCGGGCACTATGTAAGGGCTTGACTAGTTTCCTAATCTGCTGAGGGCTAGAAAGGCATGCAGTTCTGTGTAGACCTTCCAAGTTCCGGTCGCCGTTCCATATCAGTTGGAACCATCGTTAGAACCACGTAAGAAACTTTAATAACATTCGTACTGTGAATCAACAAGACTGGTATGCCTGATTGTCGTTGATAGGGTTCACCCGGTTTCGTCATCCTTGAGACTCACCAGGTAGGCACATTTGGTCAACTGAATGTTCTACCGGAACATCAGTTTGTATGCAATTCACTTGCAGACTCATCTGATTCTAATGTGCAAATTAGCTGAGTCGTAGCTAAATCTGGCTCTTGTGATATCTCCAACTAATTTCTCTGTATGTACTAGTCGGTACGATACTCAAGGTAATAGATTTCTGACTGGATAAGTTACACTTAAAGTCAAATTTGGTTTATGAGTAGATCATAAATTTGGTGGCAACTAGGGCCCTGCGCCTACCCGAGTTTGTCCTTTTGTGGGAAACTGGAATGAGAACGGAAATGTCTGCCATTATTCTATCTTTGACAGACAGAGCGTTTTTTGTGGGGCCGTTTTCGAACCAGATGGATGCCAAATTAATAAGTGTTATGTTGCTAAACATGGGGCAGCTGATTTTCACAGTTAAAGCGACCTTAATAACCAGATGTTCACTGTGTACACCTGCGCAGCGACTTACTGCGTTGACCTTAGTCAAGAACTCTGGTCTGCTCTCCTCTTTGTTAGCATGGCAACTGAGGCGCAAACCAATCATGTGCCTGTAATATTCGTAAGCAAACTGGATGAGATGTAACAAACAGCTGGCCTTTGTTGTTTGCTGTCTGTGGGCTAGTATCTAGTATGTCCCAAATTTCTACGCGAACTCAAATTAACGTGCGGTAGCAGAGTTTGGGTTTACTCACCTTACCTGAAATTCAGTGGGTCAACTGTGTGTGCTTGGTTGTATATTTTGTTCTCAATCTTAATTTTGATACGTTTTTGCGATGTCCACTTCTCCAGTGTTAGTCCAAACAGCTCCTGCTGTCTCGTGATCTATGTGGTACTGGACGGTTGATCAAAACGCAGACAAACAATTGCTGGTTTTGCCATGATTCAAGATTCATCAGAGAACAAAATCTACACCTGACCTAACAGTAATTTGCTCAGAAGTTTACCCTTGATCTCAGAAGCGCGTTAAAACTGCTTGACCTGGAGATTCGTTGGGATCCTCTTGACCATTCTTGGCACTTGGACATAACGTGCATCATACGAGAGGGTCGAGCTTTTATTAGGATGTGAAAAAATGTTACTTTTCTGACATATGAGGCACAGAACAACTGCCTAAAGTCAGTAGAAAGTCAACAACTGTGTCGAGTATGTGGAACAGAAGTAATTTTGAAAAAGCGGTTTAATTCAAGAAACTCTACTTCAAATGCTGGAGGAAATTATCATTTTTTGAGCTGCAAACTGGGCATAATAGCGAGTCAATTCATTTTGGATACTGAGCAACGGTCTCATACTACTTGGCTCAAGCAAAATAACCCTTGATGAATACTTTTACAACAATTTCTTTAAACAACCTGTATGATTCGTACTATAAAGTAGAAGACTAACGTTGTTGGTTAGGTTAAACTCTACCTAGTCTCAGGTTTAAGCAATTTTCATTCTCGAGACCAAATGCAACGGGAACTGAATGCATTTGATCTGTGCCCATTTGTTCTGTCCGTAAACAATGCAAAATCTCTCGAAGCGAAGAAGAAGGCTTGGTTAATGTTGGGCGACGATGAATTCAACGTTCGGAAGAGGCGATCGAAGGATGGGGCTACTTATTTGCATTTCCTTGTAGAGCGGTAGGTTTTGCCACGCGAAGCATTCATCAAGGCATTACATGTAAAATTAATTTTGCCGGTTCAAATCGTAAAGTGAAGGCGGTTTAAAGAAACTCATTTTTCATTTTATTCGTTTCTTAGCCGCATATCGACGAGGTTTTGACATCTTTCGAGTTGTTCGCCTCCCATTCACCACAGCCTTTATAAGCTAAGATAGGTGAGACCAAAAACTTCTGTTTTGATTACCCAAGTTCATCACTGCAGTATTACTCCAGGACCGATTGATGGTTCCTGCACTTGTATTTTGTCTGAAAGTTGTTTAGCAGATTAATTTTGATGTGATTCATAGTGGGTAGTGGCTCCCAGGAGTTGCCGGGTACTCTAAAATACCCTTACCGCATTAAACACGCGATCGGTAATGTGACATTCATCTTATGAAACTCATTCAGGCATGAAAACGTGGTGCATTGCTTTCTAGGACTGTCCATGTTTTGTTCTGTAGAAAAATGTTCCGTTGCGTCTGGAAGCTTACGTTGTGTTTATAGTGACCAAATGGATAGAAGTGAAAATTTGTTCTACGGTCCACTGCTGGTGCACAGTTTCATAGGTACAAATGCTAAGTAGAGCACATTGTAAAATGGGTTTCAGATCTTCGGATGGGGCAACCTTGGTTAGAAACCTCCTGAGATGAATGCAGGTTTGTTATAGATTAAAAATGAGCAATCTTGCACAAGCGATTCACTGAGCATTTCGGACTATTCTGCATTTGTCTCTTCGACGTAAAGCGATTTGATAGTTTGATGTTTTGGTCCGAGTTCCACACATTTGAACTCAAACACGGTGGCTGATAATCTCTTCCACCAATAACCGACCTTTGTTTAGTGCTTAGCATATTTTGGTCCATGCAGTATACTCATGAGCAGTTTGACTACTGGTGAAATTCCGGAATATATTTCTCTACATTTCATAATTTTTAAAGGTAATCTGGTGGTTAGTGGGTTATGAAATTGTGGTAATAAACGCATGTGAAGCCAAAAAGAGTATGGATCTGCGTAAGTAGTAAGTTTGTGGATGCGCTCATATACTGATTCAGGATTAGGGCGATCGAAACGGAATGCATGAAAATATTTTATTGACCGCTATTCACTTGTATCATTGCATCTCCATTTTGTTATAACTTCCAGTTAAGAGTAATCAAATTCAATGGAAAGCACAGTTTGGTTTTGTGCTAACTAGCACAGAGAAAATTGGCTGGCAACTCGGTATGGATCGAAGCTGCATGCACGAAAATCTTTTAAGTAGGAGACTACTTACATCTTATAAGTGACGTGCTTGAAAGAGGTCTTTACTCAGTGTGAATCTGGTCAATATCATGCCTACCTCCTGAACCAGGTGTGTTGCTATAAGACATATAAGTGCAATTTTAAAAAAAATCCGCATTAGTCACTTTGACTACCATTTCAACTCTCACTCATGAGGTTAATGGACAAGATCGTCTCAGAAAATTATGTGATACGCTACGCTGATGGTTTTAATTTAACGACGTAACATCGCTGTAGCTCATTACATTGTTTTATCACCAGTGGTAGAAATTGATTTTTACAACCTTACTACTACATAAAGCGATGGGCTTCCCCTCCTGCGGCTGTAGTTTCAGTGACCTCCTATTGTATGAAACCTCCTTACTTATGTACACCGTCAGGCTCAAAATCTATGTGAAGGCGTTGCCTCTCAAGAAAGTTTTCGTGCGTTGTGCCCATTGGATATCAGTATTTCCATGATATCTTAGCTTTCAACTGNGGTTTTGTGCTAACTAGCACAGAGAAAATTGGCTGGCAATTCGGTATCGATCGAAGTTGCATGCACGAAAATCTTTTAAGTAGAAGACTACTTACATCTTGTAAGTGACGTGCTTGGAGGAGGTCTTTAATGTGTGAATTCGGTCAATATCACAACGACTTTCTGAAGCAGGTGTGTTGCTATAAAATATATAAGTGAAATTAAAAAACTCCGCATCAGCCACATTGATTACCATTTCAACTCTCACTCGTGAGGTTACTGGACAAGATCGTTTCAGAAAATTATGAGATACGCTACGCTGATGGTTTTAATGTAACGACGTAACATCGCTGTTGCTCATTATATTGTTTTATCATCAGTGGGAGGAATTGATTTTTACAACCTTACTACTACATAAAGCGATGGGTTTCCCCTCCTGCGGCTGTAGTTTCAGTGACCTTCTATTGTATGAAACCTCCGTACTTATGTACACCGTCATTCTCAAAATCTATGTGAAGGCGCTGCCTCTCAGGAAAGTTTTCGTGCGTTGTGCCCACTGGATATCAATATTTCCATGATATCTTAGCTTTCAACTGCACCCCATCTCTTCTTAGTTATAGTTGCTTCATGGGAAATATAGTTGCCCGATGTGACTCAGCCGGACTCAGAAATAACTCTCTTGTCTAACAAACCCGATTCTCTAACTCCCAAATTCAAATCTCTGTATCGATGAGACACAGAGCAGCACGCATCAAATTGTCAAAGAAGAAATTTGCAAAAGTTCCAAGGAAAAGGATCATAACATAATAAACAAAAGTATTTTTAATTTTTTATCCATCAGTTATCTTGCTTCTGCTGACAAACCGCTTTTTCAACGTAAAATTGTACGCCTGATGTTCCGGTTGGCGCTTTCTGGATTGGATGTGCAGGCCCGAGACCATCATGGCCGAACGGCATTGGTGCTGGCCGCAGAGCACTGCAGAAATCCGTGGGATGAGAAACATGACGCAAATCAGAGAGGCAATGTTCCGAGCTACTCGACAAAAATAAGCCCTCGTGAGTCATTGTTGAAGCATAAGGGCGACGCTTCACCCATTCACAATATCCCCGTTCGGATAAATCAGGAGGAAGTACCCTATTCAAACGGAAGTACTGTTTCAACAGAAATGACGGCGCAGTTAGAATGGTCTACAAAGAGCGTCATGGGGTCTTCTGTGGAGAAATTTTCTGCTAAACCTGAAGATATGCACTCCACTATACCCGACCAACACTTGCTGGAAATGTTGTTACAACTCGGTAATTTGCAGTGTTCTACTGCTTTTTGTTTTGCCGAATCTAATTGGTACTGACCAAAAAAGCGCAAATATGTAGAAAGAGCTTAACTATTCAGTAGTGGTGGATAAGTTCGTAAATTTATTGTAACCAAATGGCCAGAGAATATCCAGTGAAACCTAACCAGATATGTGTTTAGAAATCACAGATTGCGGTGGTGTACCATTTTTTGGATATCATTCAATGGGTGATTCTAAAGGTCATTATGAATGAGAACCCCGTATACCATAGTTTTTGGCAGGTCATAAGATTTTCACGTCCGGTGAATGCATATTCTGCTCTTCCAATTTCATTATCCGTTCAAGTTAAACCAGGAAACGTGGGGCTTCGGGCACAACTTCGAATAGGAAGTTATAAGTTTGTTCTCCCAACCCTGTGTTTCACACGTAGGTGAGTTATGCCTCTCATCCATCGACAGAGAAAGTTTGCCGAAAAACAGACTCATCCACCTCTCATGAAAAGTTTTAAGACAGCTAAAAACGCTCTCCGATTCTAAAAAGCCGGCACACTATTTGGAACGGAACGCTACAGTATAAATATCATCCAGCGTTGACCCAGGTTCACTGGTCCACTGTCGCCATAAACCTTTGATATCATACACACCGCTAAGGCACGTCGTCGACAGTGCTGGGCTGGACATAGCTTCGCCCGTCTTATCGTTTGGCCTTGGATGGGTATGTGGCAACGTACCTTAGAACGCCTTATAATTGCAGTGCAAGTACAGTGCTGGGCTGGACATAGCTTCGCCCGGCTTATCGCTTGGCCTTGGATGGGCATGTGGCAACGTAACTTAGAACGCCTTATAATTTTAGTGCAAGTTTAAAGCTGAACAGTTCAAATGGATCAAAATGACAGAGCTCGAGATTTGTAGGATTCTGATTAGTTTCCGTATTTCAATGCCAAGTTTGGATGCGGCATGACAAATTAATATTTTTAACCCACTCTCGAATAACTAGTTCGCACTAAACTTACACATTTTGAGAATCGATACAAAAATGGCGGTGTGGACACTTATGCAGTGTTGAGTAGTAGTGGACTGCAGCAAGTTGCTGAGTTTGGATGGATGCCTTCAGATTACTAGTCGATCCGCGGCTTGAACGATTGAGCTCAGTGTTTAGTCCATGGGGATACGAAATCCTTAGCTGCACTGTGCCTTTGTCTCAGCGAAGAATGGTCAATTAAACCGAATATATGTTTTTAGATCAGACTACTTTAAAAGTATCATTGCACACTTACGGAGGCTTTGAAGGGCACTTGTATTCGCGTTACGTTTCTCGGTGTTTTGTTATCAACGTTAGTTAGACGCAGTTGTCGTCTTTTCCGTCAAGATCTGTCTCTCAACTAGGCACATGTTCACTATTTTGAACACCGTCATTCTCCGTACACCAGTTTGTCAGTGCACACTGGAATTATCATAGCTGATTTGTTTTGTGGGTAATCACCTGCGGGAAAGTGTATTTGGCTTAGCCTGATGACTAAGTATCAAACCTGGCTTCGAAGTATGCATTCCTGGCCACCACTAACTGCAACCTATCCGACATCCTGTGTATGGCCATCTAAGGAGGCGACAAAATTTTCTAGTACGTAGGTTTTGTAAGACAAGAAAACCAATCAATCTACGTATCCGGACTGATTGAATTACTCGTAGTTCATTAAAATGTTACGCTGTTGAGAAGAAACCGGCGAGGGATATAAAAGTAATTTGCAGTTTCACCAGTCAGTCAGTGAAAACATAGCTTTTGGGGCTTCTAAGAGGAGTTTACGCTTAATAAACTAGTAATAATAAAAATAACTCACCCACATCTTTCGCCTACCATATAACTTCGAAAGGTTCACCAACAGCTGGCTTTCTAAGGTTTTTGAAACAAGTTGCATGTTGTTAGGTTCATGAAATATCGTTGGTTTGTAGAAAAGGATTTCAGTAACTCCGGTTGCTCCGTTGCTGTTGAGATTTTTTAAACGCCTGTCAGATTAGTTCTTAGTAGACGGGTTCTACATAGGTATTACTCACTTCCGATGTTAGCCTTCTAGAATAATCATAAGACTAGTGATTTACCTTGGCAACAAGGTTGAAGTGTTCAATATTTATCTCTTTAGGTATCGATAGCTCTATTGGTAATCTGAAGCACGAATGTCTGCAGAAAGAGCGTTTTGTGCCACGTGACGCGCTTACAGTCCGAGCGCGCAACTCAGGCGAAGCACAACAGAACACAAAGTGTTTACCTGGTGCATGGCCTCTTATTGACCTACTCATTTGTGCGGTATCGCAGAATAAACCCAAAGAACATGTAAATTATCTCCTAAAGGAACTCGAAAGCGCTATACGAGATCATCTGGTGCGTGTTCAGGCGAGACGGAATGGTTTAACTCTTCTCGAACTGGCTAAGGCGATGTTGCCCAAGGATGTTCAAAAGCAGATGAGAAAACAATCCAAAAGCATAACAAAACAAGCAAGTAATGCCCATATATCGGCTGTTCAACATTTAGTTGATCTACTCCAACGCTATACGGGAACTACGGAGTTCGCGATGGCGGCGATGGCAGGCGACACGAAGAGAATGCGTCATTGCCTGGGTATGCGATTTATTACTACTGGTTTCTTTTGTTTTATTAATGGAATGTGATTACTGGTGAATAGACTATCCACCAAAACCCCTCTTATATTTAAATTTTAAAATCCAGGACCAGCTTGGAATATCAGGATTTCTGATTCGAGGATAAATCCGCTCTTTTTGACTACAGTGCCTTCTTTTTTATTGCGACTGAAAGGAATAAACAAACGGAGTTGAATCGGATGGGCGGTTACTTCAAGGGTGTGTTTATTTAATGAGAACATTGTACCGGAAGCCATAAAGTTGGGCATGACGTTGCAGTTTAGAATTAGTTCGTATTTACTGCTATCGTACACTGAAACATAACATGCAGAAAGTTAGCTTTGACGTACTCTTTTATTGAAATAATTTGCGCTGACGGTGGGCTTGTTGGTGTATATATAATTCCGTGCAGCACGATACAACAGAGTGCTGCGTCTGTATGCTGCTCTGCTCTCGCCTATGGCCCTACACACCTTCTATATTAAATGTAATTTCCGATTGTATCTCTCCTATCTTTTTGCAGCAATGGGAAATGGGACCCAAAAATTGAATGCCCATTTGGAAAATTATTTTGAAATTGTCAGCAACAATTTGCGAGCATCATTCGTCAAACGACCCCTCATCCTTAATGTTATGGAGTATTCATGCCCAGAAGCAGTAGGCTTTATGCTCAAAGCCGGTGCAAACGTGAGAGAATTTTATCCGGGTGAGGAATCTTTCAAACCTCGAAGGTAGCATCAAATTCAACTTTAGTTTCCTTCAGATCCGTTTACCTCAATCTCAAAAGTGCACGTTCACCTCAAAGTGTCAGACTTTTGCGTCCTTCCAATCACCTCAATCTCAAAAGTGCACGTTCACCTCGAACGGTCAGACTTTTGCGTCCTTCCAATCTGTCAGTTGATTTAAGCGAGGTAGTCTTAGGCAAAGCGTTTGTGTTTACTTGTAATTTAGCGGTGGAGAATGTTACGTAGTTAGCTAATATTTCTCATTACGTTTTGTTTGGAGTAAGAACTTAGTATGTTTCAGTGCGTATTTTGGTATTTTTGGTCTCGACAGAGCGATGGTATCTGATGCAAATGCCATTCTAAAATTCAAGGAGATGACTAATCGGAAGTGGTAAACACGGTCGTGAAGAAAACACGCCTAATTAACTTAAACTCCATTGATTTGTGCAAAGTAGTCAGCACAGTGACAGGAGTCATTAAAAATGAGGAGACTAAACTGTTTGTGTCGGTGCAAGCAATGGTCGGCCATCTCTAGATCCGTGTATTTCACTGGAAACAAGAACACCAGAGTTAGCCCTCTCATGAGCGTGACTGATATTTTATTCTGGACCATGTAGGATGTGTTACATGCAAAAGAGACAAACAAATGTGTAATAAACTAGTGTTCTTCAACCTTACATCAGCAGAAGCTATAACCGATCACTTGAATGTGAACACCTGAGAGTTTACGTGAAATAAACGTGACTTGCAAAATCACCGTACTTTGAAGACTGTCTGAATGAACCATGAAATCGCTCAGAGAGAAGAGAAAGAGAGGATATCAAAATGGCATTGCGAACAAACCCCCGTTTTTGCTATAGGAAATGACGCCTAAAACTGACTCCAAATATGGTTTGTTTATATCATGAAATTATATTTCGTGTTCCTGAATACTTTCATGGATTTAGTTTGCTAACGAAACAGAGTCCTAGATGTAATACACTACTCATAAGGTTGCTGAAAATTATCCGACAACACACGACCTGTTTCGTCCTTCTTGGGGCTCACCAGGTAGGCGCAGTGCCTGAAGCTCCATCAAACTTATGTTTTTTAATTGAACCCAAATTGCACGTACTGTGCGAAATATACTCAGTTGAGAACAAATTCTGTTTTGCGAGGGGCGCAATTGAAATCCAGCTGAATCTCACTTTTGTCTTTCATTTATAGAGAGTGCTGTTGCAGCCTGTAACGTTTTCTTCCCACTAGTTTGCAAACGGCTGCCTCGGTCTGCCTACCACAGTTAGTTTTTAAAACTAAAAGCTTTTTTAATGTGTTTCTCACGATAGCTCCAAAT